GGGGAGGGGGGGGGGGGGGCACCGTCAATCGTTGTTCGTCCAGGGATCGATCGAACCGTAGACTTGGAAGGTTTTTCGTTCAAGAAAACATTATGGATAAATCATACCGTACAATCGGGGAGTTTGGGTTGGAGTTATGGCTGGGGACCTGCACATCACCGCAATTGCCATCATCCAGTCGCCCTCTGCTGCTGCTGCTGCTGCTGCGTGTCAGACTCGCAACTCACTTCAAGGGCCCTGTTGTGGAAGACTTGCGTCGAGTAGCGACCCTTGAAGAATCCCCCAGAGCTTGAATAGCTAGATGTGGCGCTGAGCATGGTTTCGTCATCGTCGCCTGACATTGCAATTGCAATGGGTTCGAAAACGGTCGGTTTGGTCGGCAAGGGATGTGGTGTCAACATGCGTACTGTCGCAATGAGCCAGAGCCTGCGGGCGTAAACATGGATGGCGTGGACAACATGGCGTCACGGCTACAAGCAGAGTTTGGACGCCAGTAAGTCGGGTACGTACGGTAGCGTTACAAACGTCATTGTGGCGAGGTCACCCGCCCACAGGCCCCTAGCCATGGCCTTGTAGAAGCGTGTTCCTGTTGTAGCCGATTTGCGTGACTGACGGCGGCCGGACAGCGCGGTCGATGCCGATGCCAACACACCATTCGAAACAAATAACGTTTCCGCCCCACTACATACCAAGTATCCGAGAGTATTCGCGTTCGTCAAGCCGCCGCCCTCCAAGCGAGTTGGAAGAAAAACTTGACGCAACGAAAAATGTATCCCACGAAATAAACACTCAAAAGGAGGAGTCGAAGCTCACGTCCCGACATCACCGCACTGTTCCCAACCACGCACAAACTTTAGAGACAATGATCACACAACTTTACTTACCATCGCTAATCGTGCCATCCCTGAGTTGATCCGGGACTTCTCTGTCGATGACGTCGTAGTAGCCGGTAGCGTTTCCGAACCCGAAATCGAAGAACTTTCGTCCGTTGTATTTGGCGGTCCAGCTCTGTAGATTTCCCGCAAAACACGTGAAGAATGGAGGAGGCGTGAGGGTTCTGCTCTCAACTAAATTCTTAGCGAGCGGTGTCATCACCAGTGTCACCGGACAAAAAATATCCAGGCAAGAAGACGGCAACAAAATAAGGGGAATAATCTGCCCGGTAGCACCACATGTGCATACCCCATCTACAATACCATATTATCCGCGGAGCCCCCCTATCACCTGGTGCGTCCAGTACATCTCCTCGTCGTTCAGGTATCCCAAGTACGTGTCGAAACCTCTCTGGCTGGGGATATGCCTCGAGGTGTAGCTGCCGATGTGCCACTTTCCGATCATGTGCGTCTCGTAGCCCGCGTCCTTCATGTACTCGGGGAAGATCTGTCCGACAAAGACAAACAGGTGGGGGGGCAATGGAAGGGAAAGAAAAATGAAACATCGTCAGAATGTCAGTTCGGTGTGATGCGCGGGCGGGGTGAGTGCTGCTGTTGGAAGCGCTGTTTGCTGCGCGCCGACGGGCTCGGCGTTCACGTTCAAAAGCACGTGCCTGACACCACTGGGGACAACTCAAGTCAAGGGCATGAGGAGTGCGTCGCATCGGGCGGCCCTCTGTCTCTTGCCTCGTCCTGACAATACATGTCGATTCGCACAGACACGCATGCCAGCACTCCTTTCTCGCTGCCCCTCAAGCTACATACATAGCCCTCACGCCGCCAACAGAGCACGGCTCCCGTCTCACCTTCTCCGTGAGAGGGAGACCCCACGGTGCCCCCGGTTGGATCACGCTGTACTGGAGACCGTATCGCATCACGTACCGCCCGGTCATGAGACTCGCTCGCGCTGGCGTGCAAATAGACATGGTGTAGTAGTTCGTCATCTGGAAAAAGAAGAAACGAACGAACAGGCGGAAAGAAGAGCAACAAAATTAGTTGGGCTGGGTTACAGCGGATATCTTTTTCGTGCTTCATTCAAACGGTGAACAAGAGCTTCGCTCACGCTCGCTCAGCCCGTTGAATGCATCTAGACACGCGGTACCAAAAAAAGGATTAGTGCCAACCTCTTCTATTAAGAGTGACGTGCACGTTTCTAGCGCTTTGTCCATACAGGAGGGTTGGTCTTGGGGGCGGTATGCGTCAATTCCCTCCTGAGCTAGAAAAGCGCCGTGCGGAGGCGTGCAACACTGCCAACAAGACTTGAACCTCCCCAAGCCAGATCTTGTGGCAAAGTGGATCAGAACAACAACACACACAACCATCGACAGCAGCAGCAACAAAGCGACAACAGCAGCCGCACGAGGCGCACGTGACACACCTTAACCCCGCCCGCGGCAAGCCTGTCAAGATGAGGCGTGACACCCTGCAGGTCCACGCTCTGGTAGCCGATGTCGTTCCAACCCATATCGTCGACCATGATGAAGAACACGTTCGGCTTCGCGGTCTCGGCCTGGGGATTAGGTTTCCCGCCCTTCCCTTCCCCCTTCTCCTCCTCATCTACTTGAATATCTACTGGTGCTGACGCAGGGGGGGGACATGTCGCGGGGTGGAAAGAGGGCGTTGAGTCCGGATTGGGTTTGCTTGCTCTGACGGCAAGGGATTGGGGATTATCAAAATAACCGAATGTAGGACATCGATGAAGAAAGTCGAACAACAAACATCTGCAAGCCAAAAGGTAAGTGTCTTGCCGGGAAACCGTTACGAGCACGAGCTGCTAGATAATGCATTATCGCATTTGGGGCGAGGTCAGTCGTCTTCTCCCCGCGCGTGGGTGATGCAGATACGTACTAAATATTTACACCTCGTAAATACTGTCCATGGGGGGATAAGACGGTGGGTACCCTACCATGAGCACGCCACCCATTCTATGTAGCCAGTCCCTCCGCACTACTGTGACGTCACGGATTGTATGAAGAGGTAAACACATAAGCACACAAACTTCCAACGCGTTTTGCGTCGAAAACAGCAAGTGCACACCTGTAGATCTCAACCAATCAGATCGAACCAGACCGCTACAAGACCACCGGAAAGAGGAGAGAGGAGATAGGCGGCATGAGTGACATGCGAGAGTCTGAGGTGTGGTCTGACCCCCCAAGTCCATCACGGATTCGACACATGCCGAAAAAAAAACAAACGAAACCTCTAGATTGTGAAGCCTACTAGTGCAGTATTGCAGCAGTATTGGTGCCGCCGGGGGGCGAGGTGGGGTTCTCGATTCTCTTCCGGCCATGTGTTGAAGCCAGCATGACCCACGGCTGAACTCCAGCTATTAGAAGCACGACGGCATATACTTATGTAGCGTTTGGTTGCTGTCGGTCCATTCACGCGACTACATGCCGGACTTTTCACGTGTTTACATGTACGCGTAAGAACAAAATAAGAACATTCGGAAGAATTGCCGTGCATCAATATTAACACCGAGACTATCAGTGCAATTTTAGCACGCAAACACAAAGGGTGCTTAAGACTTGGAGTGGGGGCAGGCAGGCAAGCAGGAAGGGCCTCGTGCTTTGCAGCAAACCCGGGCTTTCATCGATAGTAACTCGAGCAGCGTGAAAACTACACTAAATAAGCACTTAAACAAACCAGCGCACGGTAGATTGCAGAAGCACTTGTCGTACTTACACGGGGCATCGATAGCTTGGCATGCTTGTACTGCTGTAACGTTTTAGCACCCTACCCCTATCACGGAGACAGGCTCTCGTGTAGATGAATCGTTCAAGTACAAGCCAGAGGGCCACGACGGCAACTGGTTCCTGCCGTTCCTGTCGCACCCTACGCCGGTACCGTTACGACTACCGTTACGAATAAAGTGCTCGATGCACCATTGCGTTGTGGTCGGCGTGAGGACGTAAAAAAATGAAAATAATTCGCATACGTGAAGGTGCTACGGTCATCGCAAAAAACAAAGGCGATTGATTGCTATATGAACACGTGGAGGGTGTTCAAGGTGTTCAAGGCCGAAAAGGGAGTAGTGTAGATAAGAAGATACACCATGCTACACCATGCTATGAATATGATACACGAGAATAGATCGATCGTGCAGCAGAAATGGAGAGCTTTGGTTCCTCGCTTCCTCGCATTATAAATAAATATTCGGTCTGTTGTCGCGTCCATGCAGAGCAACCGAGCCCAGCCATTGTGAGACATTTTGATCGCAGCAAGTCTAGAGTAGGCTACAAATAACGGCAGGGTGCCGGGTGTGCCATCGCTCCGACATAGCGCCGCAACTTTCTCGTGCTGTGAACAATCGTGCCGCACTTTCTCGCCTGCTGTTATGTCTGCCGGTCCCTCTGCGGTCGACCCGTGTTGCTACATGCCTTAGGGGACGGAGGCAGACAGAGCAAAGCCTGGGCTGAAATACTACATCCAGGGGCACAGGCAACCGCCCCGCTCACTGCACGCTTGTCGAGCTCGGTACCTGATGCCAAGGTTTTGCGCCGAAGGTCTCGCACAGCAGTAGCGTCGGGTCTTATCATCATCACGTTTTATTTGTGTCTTGTCTGTCTCTCTTCTATCTGTCTCTCTCCTCTCTTGTCTCTCTTGTCTCTCCCTCTCTCTCACCTCTAACATCTCGCGTTTCATCTGATCGCGTCAGGGACACGTCCTGCACCTGCTGCGACGGAGAGGCGTCCCTCGGCGTCCGCTCTCGCTGGATGGTCGAGAATATTGCCACTAATCCGGCAAGCGCCATCGAAAACATCAGCACGCCCGCGACGCCGGCAGAGACCCTCCACTTGCTTCGGAAACTGGGAGACGCTCCGGATTGCGCTGATGCCCCTGGCTGCCTGCTTCTCCTCTTCGAGTTGCTCGTCTCTGCAAGCAGGGCGCGCCCCGAGCCCTGCCTATTCACATCGCTCCAGTCCCCCATGGGGCCTGCCGCCACTCCTTGTAGCAACGGGGATCCTTCGTTTGTGCTGCTGTGCATCGGTTGTCGAGACCCAGCGCAAAATCACCCCCCCAGCGCAGACCACACCAGGCAGCAGCAGCGCCGCAGCAGCACACCCGGCTCCCAGCTATGCCGCGTACTTCTGCCCTGGTTCTTGGCGCGCGCTTTGCTTTGGGCTACGTGCGGTAGGGTTGTGCGACAGCAGAAGAGAACGCGTTCCTCTGTTGTTGACGGTTGTTGGCGTGAAACGCGCGTGTTGTCTGCTGATGTCTGTCAAGGTGTGTGCGGGTGTGTTGTGTGTTGTGAAAGCGTGATCGACGTCTCGCAATCTCCGTGATCTCCGAATTTCGCGGAAAATTCCCGAAACGTTCCCCAGGGTACTGGACGGAGGTCGGCCCTCGAAGACTTTCTTCTTGTGGCTGTATAAGGAAAGCTCTTCGGTAGGTATTACCCAAGCCGCCCTCGCGCCTTCGTATCTATGTAACACCGGCAGACAGATATCAGAGTGCAGCGTTTCAAGCACGCAGGAGGATACGTGCCTCTGCTGTATGCATAAGTAAGTGTACATGTAGTTTTGAATGTGCGGCGGTAAAGCCATCAGGGTGGCGGTCTAGCGGTCTACAAAATAGCTGCCTGTCTGTCTGTATAGTTTACACCGTCTTATAAGTTCGGGGTGTCTAGGCTGCGACAGCAGTGGTTGCACCTCGTAGTTCGTAGCGGAGGGTGGGTATGGATACCATACCACCCCCGCATCATACATACCATCGTACCTGGCACCAGGTGTGGATACATACACATCATCATCAGTATACTACATACAGTATACTATACTGTATGTAGTATACTGATGATGATGACTTGCGTGATGATGAAAGCTGTTGCCGTTCTCTTTCATTTCACCCGCCACTCCCATGGCCGCTTCCTCCAACTAAACACAATAACACAATCAATGCATCCATCGCGACGCTGACGCTACAGCAATACTATACCCACATACCCACGCAAACGTCGATTCCGCCGCGTCGGTTTCATCAGTCCGCCGTCAGCAGTCAGCGCGTTGGTATTGTAGTGGAAATCGGTCCATTCCTGTCTGCGAGGCCCCTCGCACCTGTGCGTTGCGGTGCGGCGTGGTGCTCGAGTGTCGTTTGTGTCTGCACCCACAACTGCCTCACGCACAAGAACCACGTTGCACATCGAAGGACTTTCACATAGCCGCTTCCGGAGAACGATGACCTTGCCGACGGTTGCCGCACTGATGAAGCAGAGGTCTGTCCAGGTGGTCCAGGCGAGAGGGTTGAGGGCGGGGGCGGAGCTGACGCGGCTGGCGAAGTGGGGGCTCCCTGTTGGAGCAGCGGGTGAGCCCTCTTGGATGCACAGCAGTAGTACATGGTACCATTCGCGTTGCTGTGTATTCCTCTGGTTCTGTCGCGGCTGGCTATGTCGGTGTCGGTGCGTTGGTAGTCCCTCTCCACCCGTCTGTTCCCTTGGACTGCTTCGTGTGTACAAGCACGACGCTTTTTCTCTCCGGTCTCTCTGGTACGTAACGCGCGATACAGCAGCAGGCAGGGTATGCATATGCACAGCAGTAGGTGCCTTGTGTCGGAAGAGCGGGTTGTTGCTTGTTGCGTCTGCGAGAGGGAGGAGACTTCCCGCTCTCATTCGCTCCGGTGTTTTCGTAGGCAATCACTACACAGTTTCCAGGCAAAAGATCAGCAATCAGTGGCGTTGTTGGAGACAGCGATGATTGTGTGCAGCACTCTGCACAATGTACATACACTCTTTGGGAACCGGGGGCATCTTTTTGCACATGCTTGCAGACCATGCTACTCGTATCTGTAGCTACAGTTTTTTGCGGCGTACGAACACAGTACATGCATACTGCTGTATCTACGATAGTGTAGTCTATAGAATCAAGCGAGGCAAGTTGCGCGTAGCAAGACAAATGTGCAAGGAGAAAGGTGTGCGTACGATTTGGGGACCTTGTGTCTTCGCAGCGGGGACATGCCCTAAACGATCAGAATGCCGTGCACCCAAAGGCCTCTAAATAACATCCCACATTTCACGCGTCTACCTCCGCACGCCCCCTTTGAAATCAATATAAAAATTCGCCCGATTCTAATTTCAAGTCAAAAGAGCCCAAACGGCAGGCGTTCAAACAAGGTCTGTGTTGACAGGTACCTGGTAATTAGTACTGCTGTTATCAGTAGAGGACACCATGAAGAGGCGTCGTGCGTGCTGGCACGTTCAGGTTTGCTACTGGAGCTGAAATATCGAAGGTCGCAGCAGTCTATTAAAACAGTCCGAAATCTGCGCCGGAACCAAGCGGCATCCAACATTTGTCACAGCCGTGCTCACCGCCACGGACCCCAATCTCCTCAACTGCTGTGCGCTTACAGCAGATTTCGGACTGTTTTCAGAGACTGCTGCGACCTTCGATATTTCAGCTCCAGTAGCAAACCTGAACGTGCCAGCACGCACGACGCCTCTTCATGGTGTCCTCTACTGATAACAGCAGTACTAATTACCAGGTACCTCCTGCGGGAAGGTTGGTTTCTTTCTTATGTTGGATTAAAGTATGAGAAAAGAGCCAGCGTCAAAACCCCTGTTCTGGGGGCCCTTAATTGTTGTTTGTTGTTGTTGCCTTAACATTAAAAACCGTCCCGATCTCTAATATTGGAAATCGGTTTTATATTCCGAGCTGGCTCTACTCTGTACTCAAATAAACGTACAATGCTGTCATCACCTATTTGTACTCCTGTACCACAGCAGTGTACTTGGGAAGCAGAACACATCCAGAAGACGCGGCGGAGACACGAACGAATGGGGCCCGTCGCAAGGATTCAAACCATGACCATGAGAGCCACAGGGCATCCCCGACTGCCAACGATACGCAATTCCCGACGTCAGGCATGATCACGCGGGTCCAAAGGTCTTGATCCAGCACCGACACGCCGTGAACTGAACTGCCGCCGCCTTCGGCCCACCCGCCCGCCCCTTCCTTATCCTCGCCCGGGTGGTGTGGTTGACTAAACACGACCAGGGAGTAATGTGCCAGTGAAGTCTCCGGTCTGGCGTAGATACTGTAGCTGGAAACACGGCCGTTGACACAAGTATGATTTCATGTCGAAGAATCTCTCTTTCTCTCTGTGTGTGTGGCTCTCTGTCTCTCTGTCTCTCTCTCTCTCTCTCTCTCTCTCTCTCTCTCTCTCTCTCTCTCTCTCTCTCTCTCTCTCTCTCTCTCTCTCTCGCTTTCTTTCTTTGAGCAAACCTCGCACAATGAATGTATTTTGTGTTCTGCTTGATACCTCGTGCAAATATACAGTATCGCTTACGTCGTAAAGCGGTCTGTAGGTGGCTGGACAAATTATTCAGCGTAAGACCCTTCTTTATGGAAACATAGTCTTGCAAATATATCTTGGCATTTTGACCCAAGATTTGCTCACAATATATCTCGGCGAAGATTTGCAGTATCGCGATTTATGGGGGAAATATCTTGAATGTTGAAAATGCGGCGTGTTGTTCCTCTCTTCTGCTTGAAGTTGAAAAAGGCACAACGGCCACTTGGTCCACAGAAAATGCCAAGGTGTGGCGAAAAGTGAGCATGACGCAGTTGTAAAAGGGGCATCCCTCCCCCAGCTGTATTGCCTCAACACTGCGGGTGCATACTAGCGATGGGCGCCTACCTGGGGTGCAAAATTGAATCCGTTGCCCACGAGCTCATGTCAAGCGGAGAAACAAAACTGTTCCATTGCTGTCCAACTGACAAGAAAGTGCATCAACCCGAGGCCGATGACACCCATGCACGTATCTCACGATGTAGCAGGCGTACCGAGGTCAAACCTCCGGCGCTGTCATCTGCACCCACGGATTTGGCTCGGGTGCAAACGGATTGGGTGTGGGATGATTCGATGAAGAGATAGAAGCGTCGCACACGACAGAGCAGTGTTGGCAAAACGTTCCTCCTGCTCTATTTTTCTACTTCAAAATAAAGTACTCTTTGAACGGTCCCTCGACAGACTGGTGATGACGCACGTGGAACGAGTCAGGGCAAATACGCATTTTTTTCGCGCGCCTTGAATGTTTTCGTTCGCTGTCGGCGCCCGTGGCGCCGACACAGTGACGCCAGGGTGCGTTAGAGACCCTTGCGAGTGTGCCACGTACAGATTTCATGGCGTTATGGACGATTAGGTTGACTGACCTTCGGTGATCGCGCCGCACTGAGGCAAGATTTGTTACGCCGCCTCAAGATTTGTCGGAAGGCTCGTTTCGACAGATCTTGGGTCAAGATTTGTTCGAAAGGGCAGATTTCGGGCCTCCAGAAATCTTGGCCAAGATATATCGGAAGATTTTGCTCCCATAAATCGTGAAACTGGCAGATCTTGGCCAAGATCAAGATTTATCGACAAGATTTTGTGCCCATAAATCGGGGTCTAACGAAGGCATCTCCGAGAGTGTGAGAGTCTGGCATGGCTGGCAAGCATATCGGTGATCCTGTTCGCACTTTTGATTTCCGAGATCGATCTGCTCAGCTTATTCTTTTGTTTTTTCCACATCGATAAAGTGTCGGAACAGGCTAGGGTTTGGTGGAAAGCCTCGGTGGCTGCAGGTTGGCCAAAGACAAATCAGTTGCATGTTCCACTTGAGCCTTTTACTTTTCAAGGCAACATTTCCGTGACAAGGCCCCCACCCTGGGGCTGCCTGGGGGGGAGGGGGAGAAGAGACTCTTCCGTGTACCAACTCTTTCTGGATTTGCACCCTCTGCAAAACTATGCTACTTCTTGCAGCGGATGGGTCGGCGGTGACCGGATAGCGCGGCCGATGCTAAAACCAAAGACACAAACGAGCAAGCACGTGTGTTTTAAACTTTATTCCCACAGAGAAGCTTCCCTCTTTTGCTGCTTGCCTCAATAACCCTCCAGACGGTGGTTTGCAAGCCTTTGGAGTTGCCCGCACACTCCTCTCTTGACGCGGGTCCGCAAGAAGTTCTCATTGGCATCGTTAGCCCTGCACCACGAAGTAAAACTCTGAACTTGCCGGGACTCTCCCTTTGACGCTGGGCGCAAGAAGTGCTAAACCACATCGTTTGCATTGATGATTCGAGAGCAACCGACACCAACATCACCTTTTCAGTGTGTAATTTAGCTGCTGTGTCAGCTGTAGTAAACTACAGCTAGTAGCGACGTCGCTAGGCATCAAAGATTTTCAGTTCAGGCTTCGACGCATTGTAATCCCTAGTTCTGCAGATTTTCTCGAGATATTTTGTGCAGAGATGCATCTTGTTGCCAAAACAATAAATTCACAAGTCAGTTTGTTCTGTTGCCCAGATGGGTCGAAGGAGGTAGTCGGGGGGGAAACGACGCAAACTAGCGAAAACGGTGGGTCATCAAGACCGCAGACGTAGTACTTCTCGCCGATAGAACATGTTTTCGGGGGAGAAAAAATGTTACCCTGGGTGCGTGAGTGATGCAATTACTGTGATATGTATCGGCAGAGAACTCTGTAGGGTTGAAGCAATTCATCATGTTTTGTGTTATGTTGGGCCGGCAAAAGAGTAAAAAACTCTGAAAACTTGCATCTTCCCCGTTTTTTCGGCGGTTCTTGTTGTCTGTCGAAGCGAGACTGCTCCTGCAACTCCTAGTGTATCTTTCACAGGTCGTCGAATTGCTATGTTATTGGATTGGATTGGTGTGTTGCGCGAAACTCCCCTTGAACAACGAGCTTGTCAGCACTGCAGGGTAACCTTTCTCTTTGAAACCGCCGCGGCATCTGATAGGCCAGCTGTTTGTTTTCACCCGCACCATTCATCCATCTTTTTTTGCATAATCTTATGGTACGGATATCACATCAGGTACCCGTTCGACGATTCTACAGAAAGGTTGGGACCAACCAGTTTCAAATGAAGATCCGGAATAACCACCATGGAAATTAAATACCATATATATATCCTTGTTACAACCAAAGGTATCCATCGGGCCTGCAATGCATGCCCGTGGCCCTCATCGCTGCAGGACTGGACTAGCTGTTTCAGCACGCTTGCCCTCCAGACAACAGGGACCAGATCTCTGCGCACGCTGCCTTGTGCAACACGTACAACGGTGATCTGACGCCTACACACGTAGCGGACATGCGCTTGCTCTCCTTCGGCCTGAAACCCTGTACCCCCCCCCCCCCCCCCCTCCTTGGTGCTGTTTATTTTCTCTCCCCGCTCCCTCTCCCTCTCCCGGCAGCCTCGTGGGTCTTTTACCCCGTCATCAACGGCGTGTACCAGGAGTACTTGGAGGAGCAAGCGGAGGCGGCAGCGGAGGCGGCAGCGGCGGCTGCCGAGGAATCCTAATCGACTGCCGGTAGTGACTGACTATGTTTCGGCTTCTCTAGGAAGTTTCATGAGCACAAACATTTTTTTTCTGGCTCTTTTCCAGACGGCGTCATACTGAGTCGTGGCTCGAAATCGCTCAGTGGCTTTAAACGACTATTCATCGGTGTAAGCCAGCGGTCGGGTGGAAACTCCACGTCATCCGGTGTCTTACTCTGAGTCGGCGTTTTCTTGGCGTGTTTGATCGATTCGTAACGTCGTCAAGACACAATGCTGTGATTTCTATGGGACAGGGGCAGGTTGCCGTACGGAAGATCGGTCGTGTGGTTGGTCTTGGACCAGTACGGTAGATGCTCTGCTGGTTTAGCGCATCCGCGATAGCTCGAGATAGAAAAGAGGGGGCGCCTTGACCCCACTGACTCCAACTTGAGAGCTGCGCTTTTTGTTGGTGGCTTGATAATTCTTGGTACAGCAGTACGGTATCGCTGTGGGGGGTCAGCCGATGATACGGAGCGGCGCAAAGGATGGGGGGGGGTAGGCGCAATGCGCAATACTGGATGCACGTGTCTCTACCGCTGAATTCCCTCGACTCACCGGGCTCAACAACTGCTGTGGATAATGACACTTGTTGTGTACTGCTGTACCAGCCCTTCCCTTGTCGTAGTATCGTAGTTTGTAACGCCACGACTTGGACTGGTGTCATCGAGGACGAATTCCGAACAATCACTCGCGAACTCTCAGAAGTGACCAGTTGCACATCGTACGTCCATGCAAAGACCGTCGGACTTGACGAGTTGATGCAAGCTTACGTGTGGGTTCGGCAACACGAAGGCCTGAATTCACGCATACATCCTTCAGAGAAATTTAAGCCGATGGCAGAGAGAATGACCGGGGCGCTGATTTCCCTAGGCGCAGGCAAAAAATTGCGCCCAAGACTCGGCACAAGTAAAATTATAAATAATAAGTCTATTCCGCTGAGCTTGTTTGTGGTTTTGTGGCAGGCAGCGCGTGCTGAATTGGTCAAGTATACCCGTGGCCACCCCAGGACACCAGATAACGGCAAAACTTGACTATTCAGGAAACTGCGGGCACCGTGATCTCTCTCATCGATGTGCCGGGTGCAGGGTAGGTAAGGGGCGGTACAACTTTCCTGCACCATCGCGATGCTTGCTTCTTTCTTTTTTTCTTTTTTTTTTTGTCTTCACTTCAAATCAGCGCTCACAGCACTAGTGCCGTTTACTCCAACCCGTGGACACACAGAAGAGCCCCTCTCTACCCTCCCCTCCTGCGGTAATTTGCCTTCAATTTTTAATGCGACAAGAGTCCAGGCCTCTCTTCCCTCTGTGTACACACGAACTAACGCTATCCACTAGGCCAGGAGCGGAAGCGAGAGAAGAACTCACTTTGCAAGAAAAGCTCGCTTGCGCCGGGGTTCGAACCCCTGACCTGACCTCTAGAAGGTTTAGAGGACACCAACTAGACCACCGGGGCGACCGGCTCACAACGAATCCATCTCTATCATAGACAAGAGTCAGAGACAGATTAGCAATGAATTCATAGCGTCAGAAGAAGCTACCTGTATGTCTACGATTTCCCAGGCAGCATATTCTTACCCCGCGCGGCCGGTGCGTCCCACATTCGAAAGGTTTCAAAATCGACATCCAGAAGAAAGGGAATTTCACCATGTACCTGGAAATCATCGTGCATGGGGCTATATATATTGGATGATTCTTAGAATTCACCTGTACTGACTGGGACTACTGTATTTGTAGTTCCAGAGAGCTCCCTCGACCGGGTGGCGGCTGCAATTTCCGGCCGAGATCGATAGAGTCCCCAACGCCAAAGCCTACCAAATAAATACAACATACAGCAGGTACCATGGGTGCGCTGTATACTGATGTACTGATATGTATGCATACGATGCGCTGCATCGCTGTATTACCTGCTTGCTATACCTGCAATATACCGGTTCAATTTTCGAACCGCCACGGGTTCAATGCTCAATGTTCTCGATGGTTGAACGGTTCGGGTGCGTGACGTCACCTGGCACTCATTTTGAGTCTTGGGTCAAGCCCCGCGCCCCCGTCACCCGCCGACACACTCTCACACGCACACCTGCCTACTCCCGAAAAACACAAACCACTCATCACCACTACACCACATCACCACTACACCCACTCGTCCTTCAAGAAAGAAAGGTGAGTGTATCCCTTTGGCGACGTTGTCATGTGAAGTTGGTAATGTTCGTTTGTGGTGTGCGGGCAGAAGAGGCCGAGTATTGCGAGTGGTCAAGGCTGTCACAGACACATGCTGTTACCGTATTTTGTAGAACACGCATCGCCCCCTGGCGGTCAGAGTTTGTTTCAAGGTACGATGGCTCCCGCTGTAGCCCCAGCTATGATACAAGCCTCGCGTGTTCTCCCGAAGCGGCTGGTTGGAGTCCTCTACATCGTAGTCTAACAAGCTATTCCGGTTCGGGGCTCAGGGCCATGAAGAAAAGAAACGGCAGGAAAGTCGATCCCTCCGCATCTTGCTCTGCTCTGTTGTCCGTCTCACCGAAGAGGCTAGCATGACGCAGCTTGGCTGGGGTTTTAGCTCGTTCTCCTTTATCGAAACTGGCAGTACGTGCATCTGGAAAGTTTTCAGCCTCGAGGCGAGGGGCGGGGCGGAGACTTTTACCCGACCGTGTTGAACTACATTGTACAACAACAGCTAGCTGTGTTCGCATCTGAGTTGAGCGGGCGTTCATGCAGACGGTAGATAGTCAGACGTCGAACGATTCCTCCCCAAAGAAAGACCGCCCTCGTGTGTTCTTCGGAACAACATCACATAATAACTACAGCAGTAGACTACACCAGTACACCAGTCCATCTTCCTCGCAGTCTACAAGTATGTAAAATGAAACGTCCACTATTTCAAAGTCGGCGATCGAGCGGATGGTTTCGCTGTCCGCTGTCCGGGGAGCGAATCTACCGAGAAATCCGGAAGGAATCAGGACTTTGTGTGTTTGCACTTGCACGACGCAACAGCTGCCCAGTTATTTGTTCTCACTCCTTGAGGACTTCTCTACGTGTTGCGACATACATGGATCCAACGGAAACCGTGATTGCAACATGGGCGCCAAATGTCTGATATTGCGGATATACCGCCCGTATAACAACTACAGATAGTCTAGATCTGCTCCTTCTGTGTGTACTGTAAGGACTTGTCTCATGAAGTATTTCCGAAGATAGGTGGCAGAAGTCGATTGTTCGAGTTCGTTGCTTAGTATTCTTCCTGCCGCGAACATGCCAAAAACACGGTTGGGGGGGCGGGAGGTCGGTGCTTACTCTAATTAATTTACGTTGTGCGTGCAGTCGTGTATTCTTCCGTACAACGGATAGACCAGTCTTTCGGTGATGTTATATAATATGCATAAGAGATTAAGAGGCATGGCATGACACGTTTGGTTCTTGGCAGTTCATCGTAACGTACCGCCCCCCACTCGCAGTTTACATCAACGCTTGGTTCGAATGCAGTCGACCAATCATCTCTGTGAAAACACGTGGAAAACCGTGCGTGTGTCGCGTGTGTGTTCGTCCGATCTCCCATCTCTTCTGGCGCCGGAGATTTCTCATTTTTTTGTTTCTGTTTTGTTTTTTTCCCTCTATCCCCCTGCGATGCTCTTTTTTTTTTTTTTATGACACAACGAATCCATCTTTATCCTTTATCATAGAAAACAATCTGAGACAGATAAGCAATGAATTCATAGCGTCAGAAAGTACCTGTATGTCTACGATTTCCCAGACAGCATATAGGGACATCTCCCCTCCCTGTGGGTTACAGGCTCAACAAAACAGTTTGGTAGATGTCTTTTGTGTCTCTGATATGTTTAGATCGCGAGAAGGGCTCAGCGATCCCTTTTAGAGGACCATATTGTTGTCCGCCATCTTATAAAACCATCCCCCCTCTTCTGCCTCCCCCCCCCCCTCAAGGCAACCGCTGAATATGCCGCCTAAGCCGCACGGACACGGACCCGGACACGGTCATGGACCGGGACACGGTGAGTCGAAGGCGGGACACCCTGCAAGACCTTCGGGCGTCCACCCCCGTTTCGATCCCTCGTCAAGTGGATGCCGCTTAACGTCCACTTGTTTGAATCTATCACGTTCTGTGTCAGCAAGATTTACGCTAGAAAGAAAGCTACCGGTAGTGATCATGGTCGGGGTCGCTTGCCGACGATTAGCAAGCCGAAACACATAGAAAAGAGAAGAAAATGCGGGCCCAGCATGTGCAGCAGACGGCCCTTCGTGAAGAGCCTCTCGCTGAATTGAGTACTACGAGCATCACCTACCTGTACCTCCTTCCTTGTGGTCGACGTGCGTACGAAACATTTGGTGTACTGTACATTCCGTCCATCATGATGAGACTCGTTCAATTCTGGCGTTCCGTCGACTGTTCCGTGGTATGTTCCGTCTTGGTAGGACATGGGCCGGGACACGGTCCGGGACGAGGTGGACACGGTCCGGGGCACGGTAAGGACAAGGATGACGCGGGTTTTTAGTGTGTAAGTTCCCAACGTGCGCAGAACTTACTCATTGCTGCAGTTTTGACCGGATCGGGTGTGTACATATCTGATTGTGCGGGAAGCCGAAACATTAGAATTCCTGACTGAGTTTCGCAGAGAGTTGGGGGACCTTATTATGGAGGAGGTTGAAAATGGTAGGATGGGTAGGATACCGGAAATGTTTCTGAGCCACGTATGGCAGATCAGAAAGTCTCGTTTGGCCATCGCTGATCGGGCCTGTGGGAAAAATACTCCGTCCTCTCGAGGACGCGTGGTCAATGGTGTATCCGCCAAGGCATGCAAAACATAAGTACGGGGGGGGGTTGCAGCAGCAGCAGCAGCAGCAGCAACGACACGGCGACGCATGATCCGATACAAGTCTAATCGTGTTTCTCGATCCTTGCCTGAACCTGAATGAAACTTCCAACATGGGCCCTAAGGACATGGACCCGGACACGGACATGGACCCGGACACGGACATGGACCCGGACACGGACATGGACCCGGACACGGTGGCGGTGAGAAAATCGTCAAATCATCAAAGTATCTGTTACAACGAAACGTGTTTGAGAGGAAAACATCGTCTATCGATAGTGTATGTTAGCCAGTCTACACACAAATATAGTTTTGACGCGAATCAGCCGGGGCCGCACAGGAGTTTTTTTTCATGTACTCTGCGGTGCTTGCCTTTTTTTGATCACGTCACACAGGAATTTGTTCTTACTTTTTGTTTAGTCTCCACCTAGACTATGTAACTCCTGGGTTTCTTGGCTTAGAGGTAGCTTTTATCGCGTTACGAAAAGGGTTCCGTCGTCCCTTTTGTTCCTCCTCGGCAGTGGAGTCGCAGCAATATGTTGACATGCGAAAAATCGAACTCCAAGCTGCTTATGTCAAGTCAAGCCAACCTTTCAACCACCGGGACGACAAAAAATCACTTCTAATATCCACAATGACAATTTGTTGGCGATGGTTTACACTTTGCTAAGGTGGGGTACTGCAGTAGATCAGAGGAATTAGGTAATAGTGATATTGAGTGAACAATTGAAACTTGGCAACGGGCCTGCGGCGCAGCCATCCCGGGAGCCCAGAGATCCTACACAACGCAGGCAAGACAGGAGAGACATGTACTGTACTGTATTGTTTTACATCTGTATCCACCATCCCCCTAATCTCCCGATTTGTTTAGAGGAACATGTAGACGAGATTTTCCGGCAGCAAATTTTTTTCTTCTTGGTTTTCGCTGTTGAAAGGAGTGGAAAGGGAATGATGTTTCCGCCATTGTGGTGACTACCTACTTGCGTGATATCTACAGTAGTCCGAGGAGGAGCCTAACAACCTCTACCGCCACTCTCCAAGCATCCATTGATCTTCTCACTGCTGCAACCGTATACTTCCCTGACTCAACGAAGGTCGGGCGCCCCCCCGACGTCTCTGCTTTTCCTTTCATGCCCAGGGCACGCGGGGGGACACGGGCACGGCGGCGGTCACGGACACGGACATGGACATGGAGGAGGTGGAGGTGGAGGAGGAGGAGGAGGCCACAACCACGGCGGTGGGGGTGGAGGGGGTCACCATGGAGGAGGAGGAGGAGGAGGAGGGGGGGGGGGGGGGGGGGGGGGGGCCCCCCCAAAATTTTTTTTTTTTTTTTTTTATTTTTTACGGGGGGGGGGTTTTTTTAAAAAAAAAAAATTTTTCCCCCCGGGGGGCCCCTTTTTTTTTCCCCCCCCCCCGGGGGGGGGGGGAAAAAATTGGGGGGGGGGTTTTTTTTTCAAAAAAAAAAACGGCCCCCCTTTTTCCCCCCTTTTTCAAGCCAAAATGGGGAAAAGAAACCCCCTTGGGGGTGCCCCCCCCCCCCTTTTAAAAAATGGGGGGCCCCAAAAACCCCCATTTTTTTTTGTTGCCCCTTTTGGGGAAAAAAAAAAAGGGGTTGTGTTATATTTAAAAAATTTGGGCCCCCCAAGGGTTAAACCCTGGTTTTTTCCCGGGGTACCCCCCCCGGGGGTTTGTTTTGTTTTTTTTTTAGAGAGACGCCCCTTGGGGGG